AAAATAAAATTTTTTAATAAAAAATATATAATAATAATAAATATTATTAATATGTATGTAGATTAAAATATAAACACAAAAATTATAAAATATTTAATGTATATATTTTTTAATATATATGCATATAAAAAATGATAAATTTTTAAATAAAAATAAACCATAAATTAAAAAAATAAGAACAATATTAATAATTAAATAAAAACAAAAATAAGTGAATATATAAAAATAAATAAATAATAAAACTAATAAATTAATATCAAATATAAATACTTCAATGAATACTAAACCTTGATTAACTCATTTTATAGTTAGTTTATTATTTATTAAATATAAACTGGCATACAACTAAAGCAAAACTCAACAGAATAACTCTAATCAAAAAAAGATAAAACAAAAAATACCTAGACAATACTAATATGTATAAATATATTTATATACGTATATAAACATACATACGTATGTGTTTCCTGATTACTTTTAGCTGCTTTGTTGGCGAATCTTCTGGCCAATATCAACACGTCCGAAACGCGTGTTGAGATAAATAATCATCTCAAAGAATAAAACAAAAAACAAAAATAGCGACAACTATATAAAGAGAGATTATAAAAAGTTAACTGTGTGTGTGTTTTTTTTTTTTACTTTTTGAGTTTGGTCTTTTTTGGCTAATAAAGCAAAATTGATATCGTAAATACGTCTGAGAGTTGCAAACAATGAGATCATTAAAGAGAGTAGAACAACAGACAGAGAGGGAGAGCGAGTGAGCGCGCGAGAGGAAATAGCGTGTCAAGCTTTGCTCTGCTGGAGCGTTAAAGGCCAGGCCAAGTATTGTTGGCCAAAAATATTAATAACAACAACAATAAAAAATGCGTTTACATATCAAAATACTGCACGGCGACAGCAAAATGTAAGCAGAGCAACAAAACCACACAAACATGCTGTACTTACACACACACGTGTGCATATATCGTAAATGGAGCTGTGCTTGTGCTGTGTAGGTGTAAAAACGATCTAAAAGCGCGCGTCACTTCGAAATTTCCTTTTTGTACTTTTTGCAACAAGCAAACAACAACAATGCGCGTCTTAGAGGCGGGGAGGCGAAGAAAGAGAGGCACGAAGAGAAACCAAGCGCAAGCAGAAGCTTGTTTTAAGTTTTGTTAGAATTTGAAATGCTAATGAATAAGTTTCACGAATGAGCGCCCAAACATGGCAGTTTCTAAGAGCACATATCGAAATACATATACATACATCTGTACATATATATAAATAACTTAAGCTCATAATTGAGCGCTTCTCATAATCCGAGTTTCCGAATCGCTTGGCTCTATTTAAGGGTCAGCTAGCTGCCAAGGCAATCAAGGTTGATGATGTCTTGCTTAGAGCAAAAAGAATTGCCCCTAATGATCGAGCCACAGCTGAGAGAGAATTGCCATAGAGACCATTAGAAAGCATTTCTTAATATCTGATATAGAGAGAAGTTTACAGAAATCAGGTTTTTATGTACACTCATAGCCATATATATATATGTATGTAGTAATTATTTAAAAATATACGTACATAAATATCTATGACAACAAAAATTGTTAACTTCCAAAGCTTGACCAGCTGCCAACAGTCCAAAAAACAAGAAAGAAATTAAAATGTTCTGCTCTCATATTTACGATATTCACATAAGCGCTCTCATGGCTGTTAAGTTACGATAAGTGCGCTCTTTGGCTGCTAAGCTGCGCTTCATCTCTGTAAAGTTTATGAAACTGTTTGATATCTGTAACTCTTTTGAGTGCGCTCTCTCTCACTGTCTTTAGTACGATATTCGAACATTGTACTCTACCTGTTGTTTCTTTTGTTTTGCTTCTGCATTGTCTGCACAAACATTTTTCGCATATTTTCATGTGTCCCATTCAGCTATTCAGAACACATACAACTGCAGCAACAACAACAATACATGAAATTGGCCAAAAAGTAAGAAAAGATTGGCACACGAAAAAAAAAAACAAACAAACTTTCATTAGCGATCGTTCGAAACATTTCGACAAGCCCCGCTATCTTTTTTTAAATTTTTGTTTTTCGTAGCTACGTACGACAGGCATTACGATTACGCGTGGTAAAAAAGAAATTCATCATTCGGATTGACTGACAAGCGTCGCCGTTGACGCGTGATCGTAGTTGCACAGTGGTGCAAGATCAACGTAATAAAGCGGATTTCCCATAAAAATGAAAAATTAAAAAATACATTTAAGTAATGTATGAAATGCATAATATATCAAATGATATATGAAATGCATTTGCATATGTAATTTCTTGGCCAACTGTCACCACTGTGCGCAGTAGCTGCCGTTGCCTAATATCGTAAATCACCTGCTCATCACGTTCGGCCGAGAAGCAGACAGTGCGCTTAGTCTTGATGTTGGGGCGCTAAGTAACACTCACTGGTATGGCGGCCAAAACGCTCGGACTATGCTGTGATGCCATGGACTATGAACTATGGGCCATGTACACGTTTTATTGGCCATTTCATTTGTCGTCGCGCACTTTCCAACTTGGAGCGTATAGAAAACGCGTTAACTGTGCGACTTTTAAATGCTTTTCACTGCTTTTACCAATTTCTTGTTCGTTGTTGTTGTTGCTCCAACTGCTGCTACTGCTGCTGGTGTTTTTTGTTGTTGTTGCTATATTTCTCCGTCGCTTTCTTACAGCTGGATTACAAAAGAAAACTTGAAATTTTGTTCGTCGCATCGAATACATTGCAGCAACATCCGCCTATTGCCAGTTGCACAATTCCAAAAGCCAAGTGTCTGTGTATCTGTGTAGCTGCGACCAGTCAAAATGCGCGTATCCAACAGATACCAGTCATCATCATCAGCATCGGCATCATCATCATTATCTACAGCAATTGCATCTAACCAAAGTCTAAGCACGCACATTGAAGTAATTGCAGCAGCTGCCCTCGTATAATGAGTCAAAATGTGGCCGACAGTCTGGTGAGTATGGAAATCTTATATATCTATATAATTATGTATGTATGTATGCATGTATGTGTGTTGGTTTTGCACTAGAAATAATATTGATAACCTGTATAGAAAGTAAGGCTCAGTTATATTGCCACAGCTCAAGTCAGCCTCAGCTCATCTCTGACCCATTTGAGCTGTTAATTGCTTTGACTAATATTTAGTGCGCTCTATAAATAGTCACGGACTATCATAATAAGAGAATCAATAGCCATTTGCTAAGTAAATTTACTGAATATTTACTTTAATCATATGTCATCTGAAGTAAAAGTTTTAAGAGTTAACAATAACAACAATTGAAGCTGATTCTTGAGAGTCACATAGAAGGATAATAATTGAAAATATATTGATCTCATATAAATATATTCTAAAAATTTATTATAATAATTTATTAATGAATATGCTAGTAATTATTTCTCTCAATTGATTTAAGATATTTATTTGTTATTTTTGTTTGTTTTATTTAGTATATTTATTTTTAAAATAAATAAATTATATTGTTAATATTAAAGTCTTTACTTTAATTAATACTTTTATTAATATACTTGCGATTGGTCTTCAAGTATATCTAAAATAATGAATATTTTATATGTCCTTTCTATGTTCTCTTCATAGATGTATTTTAAGAAGTTTTAGATGTCTTTTTCCATGCATTTCGTATATACATATTTTCAAACACAGTATCTCTATTCAATGGCCTTTCTGTGCGATTTTCAGGCTTGTAAGCAATTTATCTTTGATATATTATGCAAAAGCTGTAATACACAACCTCATTTCTTTTTGCTAAAAGAAATGACATTGAAATATATCTGCCTTTGCCTCATTTGATATTGTTTTACTATCGTCGAACTGTGCATCATTTGATTGCATTGTTTTGGTCGTCTTCGGGCGGCCTTTGTCGTTGCATCTCTAATTGATCAATTGACTCGGGTTGGGGGTCTCCACTTTTTTCTTTTACCTAACAAATAGAAAACAAATCGTTTGATTGGCGCTTACGTAAATTAAGGCTTATTAATTTCAGTATTTTATGTATTTTTATTGTATTCATATTTGATTGACTCTCTCTTTTATATATTCATTTGAGCCATATGAAAGACCCCAAAGACCGGCTTAACAATGTCTACCCATACATAGGTATACATATGTATATTCGTATATAGATTTACATAATTATGTCATTGCGGTTACTTCGGCATTCCAAAACGGAACGTGGAAAAATGTTTGTTTTTTTCATCACATAAATCAATTTAGCTAAATGTTTGGAGGGAACTTGTCTTGGAATTTTAAGAGTCGCATAAATATTGTTGAACAACGCGTGAAATAAAATTATTATTGTTTTTTTGTTGTTTTTTTTTTTCGAATTTTATAAATTCTATTGTGTTTTGGTCAGTTAAGTTTTTTCACACAAGATAAACATATTTGATGTATTTTATATTTGTTTTTTAACAATTTATATTACATATCAATGCTGAAATGAATTTATATGCGAATTCAAATGATATATATGCGCATACATTACTATACTATAAGAGAGCTTTTTCCGCTCTATTATATTTCGCTACCCATTGACGGGCAGACGCACTCACATACACATACACAAACACACATTTTCAGACGAGCACAGAAAGAGCGGCGCTCAGCACAAGGGCAATTTCTAATAGGAACGCACGCGAATGAGAGCCGCTCACTAAAAAAACATAAACAGAGCGTAATGAGGAAAATACGAGTGGGTGCAAAATTCCCACGACCACGACCCAAACAAACTACCTGAGAGCAAACAATGCATTGAGAGGGGAGGCATGAGGCGAAGCGGCTGGCGCTGTGCTAACGCCAACGCGACGGCAGAGGTCGCTCGAACAACCCTCGCTCGTGTTGTTCTAAGAGAGAGAGAGAGTCAGAGCGAACGAGAACAAAAGCCGAGCGTTCCTAGTGTATGTGTGTGTGTGTGTATGTGTGGCGATGTTGGGGCTGTCACGGATCTCGGGTCGACCTGGCCGCTGAGTGCGTTTTCAACAGTTGTTGGCGTCGGTTGTCCCGTCACCGTTTCGCCAGAGAACTTTTTCCTTCAGTGTTTTGTGCCGTGAATTATACGAAAAAGGAAGGCCCGAAATTACGCGTCCCCCCCTCGAAAACCTGAAATGCCCAATAAATTGTTCTTAATTATCTAATGTGCAAGAAATATAGCGTAAAGTGCATACGAAAAAAGAAATTTGCGTCTAATATTTGTGTGTTGAAATCAAGAGATGCAAATAAATAACTAAAACGAAAAACGTGATAGTGTAATACATAGAAACATACATATTAACATGTATGTGTGTGTATGAGTGTGTGCAAGCAAAGCAATAGTTGAAGAAAGGCAGACACATAAACATAAGGAGAACGCGCCTGCCAATTGAACGTAGTGCAACGAACCCGAGTCCGAACCCGAACCCTTCGCTCGAGACGGGGGTTGTGTACGCGCTTCAGCCCAGCCAACCCCCTGCCCACTCAGCTGACCGACTGACTCATCCATCATCATCCTCCTCAGCATTCAGGGCAGAGAAACTGGCGCTGCGGCAGCGGTCGCTCGTGGTGCGTAGCCAAGAATAAATAAAAAGCAAAAACAAATCGTGAAAAACAACAACAAAACAACTGCCTAAAAGCCTAGCTTTGCAGCTTAATCGACGGCACGTAACGTAACGTAACGTAACGCAACGCAACACAACGTGCTGTATTCTATCGTACTGCTATATCGTATCGTATCCACATGCGCATCAATTCCGCCTTAGCTTACGGCACAGACACACACACACTCAGAGACACACTGAAAATAAAGGAGCAGCAAATTTATTGATTTTGCTTTCTACATTCATCTTATCGCAACCATTAAGAATTGCAGGCGCAAAGTAAACAGAGCAAAAACAATTGGATCTGCGTGTAAATTACGAACGAAAAAAGTCAATCTCAAATGGTAAAGAAAAAAACGGTGAATAAAACCCAACTGTCTGCCAAAGCCCGCACACAGTACAACAAAAAAAGGCGCGCGCATAAAAAGTGTGCGACAAGGAAGAAAACTTAAATACAAATATTGAAAGCTTTCGCTTTGGTCGACTTGTCGATACTCTTGCAGGCAGTTTTAACAATGTATATAAAAGATATATTGAAATTAATATTACAGATGTTTTGTTTGAGTCATATACAAAATAAAGCAAAAAGTCAAATCCTAGATTTATAAATACATTTTGCAATTTAATATAAAATTTGAAGAAAACTTTAATTTCTAATTTCTAGCATAAATAAACAAATTCAATTTATTGAAAAGAAAATATTAAATAAATAAATGGAATATTGCTCAAAATAAATGCTTGTGTATACAGCTACAAAAAATCAAATTACTTCTGCATAAATATATTCATTTTCCATGAATTTCCATAAATAAATAAAACTAATTGACTAACGCTATTAGAGCAGTTTCTATTTTAGTCCTAGAGCAGTGCAATAGTTGAAAATTTCTACATCTACAAAAAAATTCCTCGATAGAAGAATTTAAATTATTTCCGGTTTCTAAAGAAACATTACAATTTCCATATATATTTTTCTCACCTGCAAGAGTAACGAGCCAAGAAAAACCACAAGCGTTTGTACTTCTTGTTCTTCTTGTTGTTGTTGTTGTAGGCCCAACCCACCACAAAAATGCCAACAATAATAACAACAATTGAAATAGTTAAGCCTACGCTAATTTTTATGCGCACATCTTTAGCATATATATACATACATGGATATGAACATGTATATATGTATGTATGTACATATTCTACATATATGTATATTTATGTATTTCCCCGACATTAGCATTAAAGCAATCCAACTGGAATTGGCGTGTTTTATTTTGTACTTGATTTTGATAGCATTCGAATTGGTTATTTATGGGCATTGCATTAGGCATATGTGTATACATATACATATATAAAAGAGCATATATGTATGTGCTCTATGAACTTGTTGTTGTTGATTGCGTCTCGAGAAAATGTCAACAGCAATTATACCTAAATATATATGTATTTATATATGTGAAACTATGGACACATCCATTGGTTTGGAAAACTGAAGGCGTAGCTGGGCAAATCGCCTTGAAAAGCTGCTCAGTGCCAATCAATATTAAGTAGTATTTACACTTGAACAGCAACCTTAGAGGGGAATTCGAGAAATACAAAAAGAAAGAGTGCGAGAGGGAGTGCTAGAGTGAGAGGGAGTTGCAATGTAAGTTGTCAGCTAATTGGTTACCTAGCGACAATCTTCTTAGAGCATTACAAACCCAAAAAATAAATAAACAAAAGGAAATATAATTAAGGTTCGTATGTGTAATAGATGTACAATACAATGAATTAAGAAAAGTAGAGAGCTCAAAAGACCTGAGAAGGTCTTTAAGAAATTCGAAATCCAAAGAATGGAAAGGGACTCATTTCATGTGCGATAAATGCTTTGTCTTTAAAAATCGGAGAGCTATACCTGAGCTGAAATAACTAAGACTGAGACGAAAATATATTTGACCCTGGAATACATTGGAAATGATTTCAGATGTTATAATTAATGAATTATAGTAATAGAAATGATATGCTTATAATGATTTACTGATATATCAAAGTGTTATGTATGAAAAGGAATTCCTATTGATATAGCATTTCTGAAAAAATATACAATAAACATATTTATGGACGATATTGTCCAATACTCTTATTTAACAGAACTATTATAGGCTTATCTCTCTTTTTGGGTATACATATAGTACGCCGACATGATTTTTATCTAGATCGCCCTTACAACACTACCTAAGCTGAGCTCTAAATAAATTTTTTTTCGTAAAGGCTCTACTTGTTCTCTTATTTAACTTGACTTAAGTAAAGAATCATGCTTAAAAGATTTATAATTTCATATTAAATTCTAATCAAAAATATAATACTCCCAATCTCTCAAGTAGCTTATGTCAATCTCAATCCCGTGAAAGATGTCGCATTATGGTAATACGAAACCCCTAGCTTTGTCACCTCTCAGCTATCTAGTTATCTAGCTATGTCTAGTCTATAGTACAAGCTAAAGCATACATATATCACTTGTCTACCCGCATTCCGTATTATAAGTATATGCAAATATAGCCATGCATATTTACTGCTTCCCCAACCACCTTTTGAGAAACATTTTTACGAGTTTGCTTTTGCTTCTTGTTATGCTCAGTGCTTTAAGCTTTAATTCAAGTTGATATTTCTATATCCGTTGTTTGTTTCCTCTGCCCCATGCAAATATATAAATATATAAATATGTATAAAGTATATGCATCTATATATATTTTATATGTCTGTTGCACAGCGGATGTGGTTTGATAATAGTCGAGCAGCAAGCAGCAGCAGCCACTAGGTGATTCTGCTGCAAACAAAGAGAGAGAGGGAGAGTGAGTGAGTGGGGGAGAGCACTGGGCGGGGAGACGAATGCAGTCAGTAACTGACGAAACGAACGTCCAACGGACGTTGTACACTCATTTAGTCAGTCATTCAATGCGACACGAGACACGAGACGAATGCAGCATTTCGGCTTTAGTTGAGTTGCTTTATTTTTCTGCTCTGCTATAGTTTTTATTTGTATACCCTGTACAAATGATACTAAAAAGGGGGTGTACTGTCTTGCTAGGCTGTAAGTTACTAAGAAAGCTTTTTCAATGGATTACTTTTACGATAATTATCGATTTGCCTATATTTATATTATAAACTTTTGTAGAGCAATTTAACTTTAATTAATATATATGTTTTTTAAAAGCCAATTAAACAAATATTTATTTAAGATTAATCTTGAAGAGTTTCAGCTAGTCAAGCACATAACTGTAGAGCAATCTATACATGATTTGATTATATTTAATATATATTTATATATACACAATTTAAAGACTACATTTATATATAAAACTGACCTATCTCTGGGCCAAATCTCTCTCATCCAGCCAGGGTATTTTCTAGTCAAGCACTTAGCACTAGATCAGCTTTTACATGATTTGTTTTGTGCTTTTTATACATTTGCATTGTTTATTTGCCTCTTGCTGTATATCAATGCAAGAGCCAACTCGTGGCCGAGCTTTGGATTCGCCCCTCTCTATAAATAGAAATGGGGGCAAGCCCCCATCAGTCTGAACCCAACTACGTACAGCTGCTCATCGATTGTTTGCTTTGATGTTGTTACTGTCCACTCTTGGCGGACAGCAGGATGCGTGGGCGTGGCTTGTAGTTGGGATGAGGCGGGTGGTTTTTTAGCTATTTTTGCAACATCTTTTGCATTTGCGTCGCAGCTAAGTCAATTAAGCCACGGCGGCTACCCACGCACACACACACATACACACACACACACGATACGCACACACACACATACACAGACAGCCGCCAACACGTCAGTCAATAGAATTTTGCCATTAGCCATCAGGCCGCACAAAGGTCAAATCCCACAGTTCTTCTATAAATATACGAAAAACTCATGTGAAATGCCTCGTCATCAGTTTCATTATTATCGTCAGCATTGTAATTATCGTTTACCTCATCTTCATTATCATCTGGAGCAATTTGACATAATTTCGCTTTATGTCTTTATAATTGCATTTCCAACACTTGAGAAACATTTGACAATTGAGTTGAGCTAAAATTATATAATACAAAAATATATACAAATTATCGTAATTCCTTAGAACTTTATTAATATCGTCTCTCCGTATTATTTTTGGATGTATTTTCCCCCACTCGATGACTCAACTTGAATTTGAAACTTTTTGTTTGCTGTTTCTGTTCTGAATGACGCCGACTTATCGCTGGGGTCGATCAATCTTAACTGCTACTCGATTTGCATTTTAAGTTACATATATGTAAATATATATATTCATATATACATATAGTTATATATATGCTATGTGAGTTATAATTAAATGAGTCAAGAGAGCCTCTCCACAATATGTATGTGTGTGTGTGTGTGTGCATATTGATTAGAGGGGGGCATAGCAAATGCTATATGTGGAAATATAAACCATATGTATATAAATATGAGTTGATGAGAAATCTGTCACGATCGAACTGGATCTGGGTCTGGGCTATACGCTCATAGGTTTTAGTTAGACTTTGCACACTTCAGCGTATTGCACAAAAGTTCAATCAAGCATCTGAAAACAAATGAATTGGCATATCGAGGTACGTGACTCGGAAATCAATATATTCATGAATCGACTTGTCATTTGTAATGTTTGGCAATGTGGATACAAATATCTAATACATATCGATTATTTTGGGTTAATGAATTCATAATTGCGATTAGTAAGTCAATTTTTGGCTGTTTAGGTTTCCACGTCTATCCATTAGCATTGAGTATGAACTAAAAGTAGCTGAGAGAAATATAATTTGTAAAGTATTAAATTTAAATTATTTTATTTTTATTTTTTTATTTATTTACTTTTTACGATTTACTTAGAAAATGTTAAGTTTTCATTTAAAAAATTATTGTTTGCATCTGTTTCAAACGTGTACACACTTTTGGCATATGGAAGACTATAAATTACACTAGACAGCAAAATTCATGCAGTTAACTAATCAAGAATCAGACAGGAGTCCAAAATAATATATACGCAGATATATATAAAATATTCTTATCTAAATGAGAGAGAGGCTTTCCCCAAATAAGAAATTTCTTTTAAAAATGAATTACAAATACATATTTAATTAAATGAATTTATGTTCTTCTTCTATTTTTTATATATAATTAAATTTAATAAAAAGATAAATATATATATATATTTTTTTAATTTCTCTTTAAATAAATATATATATTTTTTTACCTCTCCTTTTTTGATATCTTATTAAATTAAATAAATAAATTTAAGAAAAGTATTATTTTTTCCTTGAATTTATTTTCTTCTTCTTCTTCTTTTTTTTTTTTTAAATATTTATTTCAATTTATTAAATTAATAAATTTTTATTTATTATTAAATTAAAATGATGAAATAAATAAATTTTTGATGTAATATTAAATTAAAATATTTAAATTAATTTTCTAAAATTTCATGTAAACGATATTTGTATATAACTTCAAAAAATAAATAGAATGCCAATTCTCATTTCTTTACGTCAATTCTCAGGTATTTCAAAAATGTTAAACCCAACCAATCAATCAATCAGTCAATCAATCAATAGCTCTATGAATTTGTTTTGAATATTCAATTGGACTGTGAACGTTTAGCAAATTTTTGCAAATACTTTAGGCTTTATGAGGCTAAGGCTAAAGACCTGCCCAGCTCCAGTAATCTCATTCGTGATGCGATTATTTATTTATTTTAACTGGAATGTGGCAGCCAAACTGTTGCAAGAGCTCGCATTTAATCTAAATGACTTTGGCACTGTGTGCCGATACGTGCCAGATTAACTCGCAATTCCCACATATATTGTATATAATATTCCTATATACATATATATACATTTCATTATTAGTCTGAAATTGTGGAGCTGAGAGCTGCGTGCGGTTTGTTTTGAATGCTTTATGCGTCTATTTCTGGGCTGGCATATTTTATGATCCCAACATTTATTGCTGCTATATACGCAATTTAATGTCGAGGCGCCGCGAATTGCGGCACGTTTCATACGGAAAGCCGTCTCCGTTGCCACACGGAGACAGACACGGACACGGTCCAGCATCCGGCACGGGTCCGACCCCGTCGGCTGACCTGCTGATCTGTTAGCTTAGATAACTCTGCATGACAATTTCAGAGGAAAGGCCATGCCATTAACAGAACTAAAACAAAAAAAAAAAAAAAAAAAAAAACAAAAACAAAAACATAGAAAAAAAACGAGTTATGCAATGTGGAGCATCATAGCTTGACTTTTGAATCGAGCACAGTTTGTTGGCCCAAATGTTTATGGCCAAGAGAGTTGACGTGAAATTTGCAGCTCCATTACAGTTAGTCGCAAATAAGTGTGCACGTCTAATAAATACTGTGTGCATGCACACGCTTCAAGGCGAATCGCCGTAAAACTAGTGTGAAACGGAAAATGAAAACGCATTTTCCAGCAACGATTTCCTTAACACACAAATGGCAACAAATTTGTTCAGCAAATGTGGCGCAGCGTCTTGAGAGAAAACATACGAATTTGGAATACACTGACGATGTTTGGAAATAAATAATATATATAGATGTAAATACATTAATATTGTATATACGGAATCAGACTTTATTAGGGCATTAAGCTAATATATACATAGCTCTGACCAATGCTAAGGCTTAACTGACAACTCTATCTTCTATCTCTCTCTCGCTATGTCTCTTCCTTTACCAATACTCTCATTCATTCTCACTTCCCCCAATTTTTATAAGTGTATTCGATATATAAAAATCGCGCGCTCACAGCTGTCAATGGGAATGTGAAACAACAATAAACGGCCGCAATAATAAACAACTTCCTGGAAAAGTTGTGCTGCACGCTTTTGGCTAGGCTAATACCTTATGCTGTTTTACGAGCGCAGCAAAGGAAGCAGGGGGCGTGGCACCAAATGTAAAAATTGTTAAACAAAGGCGAAGCCAGCGAGTCAGCCAGTCAGCCTGGCTATTGCCGTTAATTGCAATTTGGAATTGGGGGGCAAAAAGTATTTAACCAAATATGGGAAGGTGCCGAGCGAGACGCCACTTGAGTTGCTTTCCATTGTTGTTGTTGTTGTCGCTATGTCTATACAAATGCGTCTAGCTGCCGACAGCTGAACAATATAAATGTATTTATATACACATACTTGTACATATGTATATGTATGTACATATATGTACATTGTGCGTCTATCTCTAAGTCGAAAATTGTAGCCAAGGTCAGGGGCGGGCAGACAAGCCCTAGGCATTGACAGCGACTCAACTGAACTCAACTCAAGTGAGATGAGTTGTCGATGCCGATGTCGAAGTGGATGTGGATGTCGATGTGGCTGCCCATGTTGATGTGAATGAACTCGTTTCACGGCTAGTTTCGCTGAGCAGCCAATGCCAATCAATGAACCATAATCAAGTACAAAATAAAACATGTTGCGAGAGATTGACCCCAACCTAAAAAAAAAAAACAACAACAAAACACACACAAATTTTGTTTTCAGAATTTCACAAGCCAAGCGAACTGTGTTTGCCAGCATAAACAGTCGAAGGAAAAGCAGCAGGTGCAGCAGCATCATCCACCCACGCTCATCAAGAGCCACACTTGCGCCTATCAGCTGCAGGATTTAGCTGGCTATAATCGCGCCCTAATGCCGCCGCTGGACAACACCGACTTCAGCTGCGCCTGGCGCTATGTCAACAACAACAGCAGCAACGCGCTCTGCAATTACCATCAGCAACTGCAGCAGCAGCAGCAGCAGCAACAGCCCGCACATAATTGGGCCAAAGCCAAGCAGCGTCTGTATCATCACAACACCTGTCCGCGCCAAAAGAAATCAGCAACACCCACACATACGCCCACAGCCACGCCCACATCGACATTATGCCGACAGCAGCAGCAACAGCAGCGACGTTCACGCTCCACATCCTCCTCAGCTGGCAAGCAGCGACGGAACAGCTCCTATCATTCCTACGATGATCTGGACAGCTCATCGAATGCGGTGGCCAATGCGGAACGCAAAGTCGTCGCCAGCCTCAAGTATCTGTGCGCCTGCACAGGCGCCACACTGCGCAACCTGTCGAAGAAGACGAAAGATTTACATGCCAAAAACTATACCTACACCAAGGTAATTGGTAATGCATTGCATGTGACTAGCTATATATATGCATATACTATATGTATATTAGAGCTAAGTCTGTGCTATCTATTATATTGTTATCTATTGGAGACACTTGCCAAAAAATACAAATAGTCTGAGAGTTGGTTTTGATGGGAATATGCTCTATAATTAATTGGCCTTAGAAAGTCTGTTCCAAGATTTGGTTATATACATATTGTAAACTATATATTTAATTTACTGAAGTTTTAATATTATTTTTATTATTATTTTTTTTTATTTATTTATTTTTTTATATATTTTATTTATTTATATATTTTATATTTATATATTTTTTATTTTTTTTTTATATATATATTTATTTCATTTATTTTTTTAAGTCTTCCTTTTTTTTATTTAATTTTAATAATTTAAATTTAATTTTTTTTAAATGCAATTAAGTTGCAAATTTTCTTTTATATTTGCTTTATTTAATAGCTGTTTAATCCAACTTATTATAAACTAGCTGGGTGGCTTAAAAGAAAAGGAAATTTATTTTTGATGAATACTAAATATTTCGTGTGTTATTCTTTTTAATATTTTTGCCAATTGAAATATTTGTTGATTTCACTATAAAAAATTGTTGATTGTTTTTAATTGCTTCAATTAGAATCGTAGAAACATTTTTGTAAATTCTGCCAGAAAATACGTCGCCAAATGTTTTCAATTGTTTATATAATATCCAGTAAATGTAGACAAGTTCACTATTCATTAGCTTTAATTGAATTTTGCTGGAGTTTGGTATCTCATTTATAATATTTTTATTTTAATTCATCAACTTCTTTGATTAATAGTTCAAGTCAAGCTTAAACATATTCTATTCTATTTTTAAACATATTCTGCCTTCAATATTTTTTCTGTTTTTAAAGAGACTTGTTTAGCATAAATATACTCTGCTTTGTATTTGCTTATTATTATTTAAACAATTTTATTCATTTAACAATTTTAATGAATTGACATTGAATAACTTTTATTTGTTTTAAACAGAGCTTTGAACCCATAAAAATATTTATTTTTGTTTGTGTTGACACAAAATGAAATTCAGCAGCTGGCTATGTTGGACAGACTCTAGTTTGTCTTAATCATGGTTTATTATAGTTAAGTAATTAGTTGCAAAATATTAATTAATACATATTTGTATTATTTTAATATTATATGCATTTTACTCTGTTTCTATGTAAAGTCTTTATTTATCTTTACTACCTGTAGACAAATTGATCGTTTAGTGGGGCAAAAACACCTGCAGCTGCAGTCGTTATTAGTTTGCCGTATACTCTGCCATTAATATTGTTCGTTTCAATAAACATTGCTAAAATAATTTTGACGTAAATGAAACTAAAAACAAGCGAATATAGTGCGTCATTAATAAAACAGAACAAATGAAGCAAACAGATATATGAAAGACAAATACATAGTAGCATGCATACAAACATATATATGTGTATATATAAAGAGAGAGAGAAAGAGAGAGAGGGAGAGAGAGAGAGAGAAGCAGCAGCAGCAGCATTTAAACAAAAAACATACAAAACGCCAAATAAATAACAAATAAATTAAATAAATACATATGTATGCATTCATCTCTATATATGTGGGAGTGTGTGTGTGCCTGTTTACATACAAACAGACAAATTTCTTATTTCGACAGTCGAAACAAAAAAGAAAATAAAATAATTAAAGAAAAGTCAAACGACTTGGCTGATCTTTCCTCGTGAATTGATTAAAAGTTGCCTTCAACTTGGCTACATACACAGATATATATATGTATATATACGAGTATATATGTATATACACATATATACATATCGACACATATTTGTTTGATTTGGGAAGTAGCATGTGCAGATCAGCCAGCCGAATCACAAGCTAACATAAGTACACAGCAATTAGAAAAAAACAAACATAAAGACAACAAAAAAGTTAAATATAAATTTGGAAGCATTTGGAAGGGTGTTAATGACTGACGAATACTCGCGTGTGTAATGGAATTTAGTATTTATAATATTATAGTATTTTTACTTACGAATTGTTGCTCTTTTTGTTAAGAGTATTCTAGTTTATAGTTCATAGTTCATAATTCATACTTCATACTTCATACTTCATACTTCATACTTCATACTTCATACTTCATACTTCATACTTCATACTTCATACTTCATACTTCATACTTCATACTTCATACTTCATACTTCATACTTCATACTTCATACTTCATACTTCATACTTCATACTTCATACTTCATACTTCATACTTCATACTTCATACTTCATACTTCATACTTCATACTTCATACTTCATACTTCATACTTCATACTTCATGGCTCATACAACATTTTCACTGCAACCAATATACTCTTCTCATGCATTTAATGAGCGAGTATCGAAACGCAAAAACAATTGCAATTTGCTGAAAAATTGTTGGGCTTCACAGGAAATAGTCGCAGTCGCAGTGGCAGTCGCAACGATGTTTTCGCAGCTGTTGTTGCTTTTGCTTTCACGCTTTGTTTATGCTGCCAATTTTGATATAGATTCAAGTTGAAATCGCGTGAAATGCTGTGAATGAAAGTCATTAAATGGAATTACTCAACACTTAAGCACTTGAGGCGCAGTGTTGTAAGTGAAAACATTGGCGCCTAATAAGTATACTAAGTAGTTTACACAACTAGTAGAGGAAAAAAAACAAAAGAAAATGAATTTTCAACATTTTTGGCAATGTTATTTATGGGGCTGGGCATCTACGAACAACTTACAGCTGTTTACAGCGATCTAGGGAATTTTTCGTAGGAGACCATAAGCTGAGGGTGGGTCGAAGTGAAGATACTCTTTAATATAAAATACTCTTTTTGATTCTTAAGAAATATTTATTAGGAGGGTATAAGAAAGTTTTAGAAAATTATATTTAAAATTAAAAAATGCAAACTGATATATGCAAGTTGCTATAGTTTTCATATACCCTGTAATTTCAACAGATTTAACCTTGGACTGTATCAAAAATATGTTTATTTATTTTTACTTTCAACTAAATTGGCTTAGAGTACATCAATTTAGCTTAAGCCCTTGCCTATATATGCTGTTACATAATGCTTATACAATTTTATATGCCCCTCATTTCAAAGCGCATATAAAGATCATAAAACAAATTGCGCCGACCACTTAACGCCCAACATGTTTTTGTTGGGATTTTTTTTTTTTTTTTTTTTTTTTTTTTACGAAATATTCAAACAATTCACGAAATTTTCTGAAATGAGGTCAGAAGCTCAGACACGGCCACGGCTAACAAAAAAGTAAACTAAACATATATTTGTATGCAGGATTTTACTGTTGTTGTACGCAATTGTTGCTCTTGTAGTTGTACAAAATTGTTGCTGTTGCTGTTGTTGTTGTTGTGTGTGTAATGAAAGCGCATGCGGGCAATTAATTGCCCTAACATGAGATTCATTAATGTTTAGTTGGACAGAAATTTATGTAGATGTGTCAGAGTGTTTGTAGGTATGTATCAACAGGGGGTCAGCTGTAAGGCAGCGAGAGGTGTGTGTGTGTGTGTGTGTGTGTGCCTACTCAGCATTTACATCTTGTATGTAGCTCGCTGAGCAAATCTTTCTATAGTTGCATGCTCTGGCTGCTTGGTTTGGGGGCAGGTCTTAAAAACAGCTTCCGACATATGTTTTGTCGCACACATACACACACACACACATACATACACATAGCATTGCGTGCTGCCTTTTGTTATTTATTCAATTTTCTTTATGGTTTGATTCATTCATTGCATTTTCACGCAATTGCAATTAAATGAGTTTATGAATTTAATTAATTTTTGTATATGTATGTATGTGTATATATGTATATACATATGCGCATTTATTCATGTTAACATATATATATATATATTATATACACACAATTCAGCTAAGCAATGCATTTTTGTATTTTATTAGAATTTTATAATTTTTAAGGCTGCAAATATTTTATTTAAATTTGTTTACTTTTATGAGAATTTCTAAATATTTAAATATATACAAAATTAGCCACATGTTGATTAATTGACCCTGTTATATTAATTGCGGCAATCAGTCTTTATTTATAGCCTTCTATTAATAGCGGAACTATTTGTTTAGAGGAAGAACCTCTACAACAATTTAAATGCATTTGAAATGTTAATTTATGTATAGATTTTTTTTTTACCATTGTGTGCGAGGGCGCATTTAAAGTGGTTTTAAAATTTCTTGTAGTTGTTATTGCAAAATAAAAAATATTATATGCGTTCAATATTATATTTTTATAAGTGTATTTTTTTATTTAAATTTTTTTTATTTTTTTATTTTTACATATAAATAAACTACTGTACAATACGACTCTATTTCCACTCTTCTACTCTTTAATCTACTTAACTCCACTAATCTGCTATTCTACTCTACATTACTATTCAACTACTCAACTAACCTATTCAGTAGAGTTGTTGTACTCTGCTCTACTATTGAACAACTCTACTGTACTCTACGATTCTACTGTACTTTACGATTCTACTCTACTCTGCTATTCTATTCTGTTCTACCATACTCTACTACTCCAGTCTTCTACTCTTACTATGCCTCTCTTTGAATAGATCTATAAACATCTTTAAGAAACTCTTTTTGAGTTGCAGTATTTAAATCATTAAAAATAAATTTTTAAAATCATTTTAGCTATACAACATAATATGAATAATTCAGTTGGTTTTTCCTTGCTGTCATGGGATTAAAGCAAATAATATTAGGCCCCGGGAGATAGCTTTTAAAATTGATTTTGTTTCTGATTAAAGAATGTTTATATAGACAATATATATAATTTATATATATAGAATTGTTTGCCTTTCAATGGCATTTGGAACTTTGGCTGTAAATCGAAATTGGAATTTGTTATTATTCATTATTTATGGCTTAGTCAGAGCCATGGACTATTAACAAAATATTTATTGAGCAATTTAAATGCCAAATCGAAAATGTAGCGAAATGTGAATGAATTTTCTGACGGGAAATGGAAAATGTGAAAATGTAGAAATGTGTCGGTCTGTTTGGCCAACAACACAACAGTAAACAACAAAAGCAACAACACTTTGGCCATAAAACAATTCTATTTGACATAATGTTTATATTGGAAATATTTTGAAAAGCACAAAATTCGTGCCTTGTTTTAAGCGAATTTTATATTGAATTATAAATAGTCGAAAATTGTGCTTGAAATAGCTAAATGATTAATTATATATACTAAATGTAGCAAATCAACACACTTTTTTATATACGTATAGACATACATACATACATACATATATACATATAGATACATGTATATATTACTCTAAAGTAATTGCTTAGCCTTTGGCCACTTTGCTAATTTGACATCTTGATTGGTTTCTCTCTCTTTCTGTGCAGCCCACGTGGCGCCTGTGGGGCGAGGAGCACGAGAAGAATGCAATTTTCACAGTCTACCTGAAGAAGGTGCGCTATCATCGACCAACGCCCACGGCAAGCAATGTAAGCGATATATAAATTGATATCTCTACCCATTCCCTCACTAATATCCTTTGGCAATTTTCTTGCAGCAAGACTCGGATGATGAAATTTCCCATCTGGAGTGGGAGACGGTGCGTGTGCGCTTTGTGAAGGCAGCCACATTGGCGCGCCTTGTGGAGGCGTTGGCCACCGATGATGGTGAATTGGAGTCGACGTTTATCAATGTCTTCCTGTCCACGTATCGCACCTTCTCGACGCCCAAGCAGGTGCTCAGCCTGCTGACGCAGCGCTACGATGCGCTGCACGAGAAGCATATGGAGGAGCTGGAGCTGGCGCAACAGAATGGCAGCACAGAGGATGACTCACCGGCCTCCATACATGAGCAGCACAAGAAAACTCTAGTCTCGGCGCTGCATGTGTGGCTGGACGGGTTTCCCGAGGACTGGCACGAGGACAACTTGCAGCAGATTCTCGAATTTGCCAGCAAACGTCTCAAGCGCTCCGATTTGCATATCAAAGTGTTGAATCGCTTGGAGCGTTTGCTCAGGCAGCAGGTTTATGGAGGTGGAGGCGGTGGCGGCGGTGGTGGTGGAGGCAGAGGCGGAGGAGGAGGTGGTGGCAATCATGGGGATATCACTGGCCTGCCTTGGCTGACGACTCCGTCGGCGGGGCAGACGCAGTTCATGATGCAGACGCCGTACGGCTCCACCTACGATCTGAGCGAGCAATTTGGTCACCTTTACATCTACCGCGGACCCACGCACTTTATGCAGGCCTTTCGTTTTCCCGACGTGCCCGTTCGTCACTTTGCCGAGCAGCTCACCCGCATGGACTCTGAGCTCTTCAAGCGTCTGATACCGCATCAGTGCCTGGGCCATACGTGGGCGAGGCGGGACAGTGGCGGCTCTGAGACGGTGGTTGCCACCATCAACCAGTTCAATGCGGTGCTCTTTCGCGTTGTCTCCAGCATACTCATCGATCGGCTGAAGCCACAGGTGAGTGTAGAGCATTAAGCATGAGGTGGAGACTCTTTATAACTCTTCTCTTCTCTTCTGTATTCCTAGGATCGCGCCTTGAACATCTCACGCTGGATTGATATAGCGCAGGAGCTGCGCATGCTCAAAAACTTTAGCTCCCTGAAGGCCATTATTTCCGGACTCAATTCCAATTCCATATACAGACTGTCCAAAGTCTGGGAGTTTTTGCCCAAAGAGCGCGTAGGTTGACGCGGATAAATCGAATTGAATTTTTCGTTAATTAATCTTAATTTTTGCAGATGGAAATCTTTACGGAACTCGCACGCATTTGCTCGGAGGACAACAATGCCTGGACTCTGCGTGAGGTGTTGAAGCGCGAGGGCACTGCCAAGAATCCCGATCCGGCTGGCGACCAAACGGATCGCCATCTGCAGAAGCTCATACAAAATCTGGGCACACAGACGTCGCACGGCACGATACCGTATCTGGGCACATTTCTTACGGATCTGACGATGATACACACAGCGAATCCGGACTACCTGACCGAAGACAAGCTGATCAACTTTGATAAGAAGCGCAAGGAGTTCGAGGTGCTGGCGCAGATCAAGCTGCTGCAGGGCGCGGCCAACACCTACAATCTGCAGGAGGATCCGCTCTTCGATCATTGGTTCGGCTCGATGCCCTTGCTGGACGAGCGACAGGCGTTTGCGCTGAGCTGCCAGCTGGAGCCACCGCCGCCGGCGCCGCGCAAATCGGTGGCCAGCACAAATACATCGCTAACGAATACGACGGCCTCGTCGACGGCCTCGATTATGGGCAGCGCCGGGCATGGCCATCGCAAGACTGACTCCATACACTCCAATTCGAGCAGCGGAGCTGGCTCGCAGTTCTACTGTGAGCTGAACAGCAGCACGAGCTCCAGGCACAATTCGCTGGATAGGGATGCACATCACGCATCGCTGATGTCCGCCTCGAGCAGCACCTCCAATCTATCGATGGACTCGAGCAATTCAGGAGGTCGACAATCGGCGCACAGCAAGTTGACCCACTCCCAGTCGCTGGGCAATGGACTGAAGAATGCGGCGCTGATCAATGGGACGACCAACGGTGGCTCGCCGCACAATCACATCAATGCACAGCTGGTGCAGCCAGCTGGCGTGAGCACCCAGTCCGCTCCCGATTTCTACATCATTCGCGTGACCTACGAGACGGACAACATTGAGCTGGACGGCATTGTGCTGTACAAGAGCATAATGCTGGGCAACAATGAGAGGACGCCGCAGGTCATTCGGAATGCGATGCTCAAGCTCGGCTTGGAGGATGATCCCGATCGCTATACGCTCGCCCAGGTGCTGCCCGACAAGGAGCTGGTTATGCCAAAGACAGCGAATGTCTACTATGCCGTGAATACCAATTATAATCTTAATTTCATACTGCGACCGCGCAAGGACGAGGCTGGCAACGGGGGCAGCTAGTCCACACTGGTGCCCCTGTCCCAGTTGTGGTGCTTGGGATATGAGGGCGAGGAGTAGAGTAGAGTATATCAACCGATTCCCGCTTGTATATAGTATATAGAAACACGATGCGCACACATGACAAAACTAATTTTGTTGTTTTAGTTAATAGTGTCTTAATTTATTTATTACAGCAATCTCAATCTCAATGCAACTGATCGATAACAAAGCTGCTTTTACCTATCGATTAACCCGTCAATTAGCTCATAGTACAACACTCAACTTTTGTAATCTCAATTCAAAATCCGTTTATCAGGCACATACATGTACTCTCTCTCTATATATATACATACTTCTATGTGAACTCTAAAAACTGGAATAATTGCTGATATTTATAAAACATATATATAGATATATATATATACAATATATATATATATATACTATTTACTGATATTGATATTAATATTGATATTGCTTAAGCGATTGATATACAGAATCTAGTACAATAATTTTTGAAGTTAGAATCGATATTAGTTTTTCGACGATAACTCGTTAGGTCTACGAGTCTACGAGTCTATGTACTTTATTTTGATGCAAAAAGCCCAACCAATATGATATGTATTTGTATAGATGTTTTATTATTGCTGTACGTGTATTGTATGTACATATATATATATATTTATATATATATACATATATATAAAACAATGCAAATTTGTAACTAAATATTTATAGTGTGGGGAGAGGAACCTAAGAATATATATATATATACTTCAGCATATATATTTGATTGAGCTGTTCCACACTTTACATCTAGTTAAGATATTGTATTTGTGTGTATATTTAGCATAACAATTTAAAGAATTATACATATATCAATATATAGTAATTGTCTGAAGGCATATTAAATATGAGCTCTATTAAAAAATAAGAAAAACACAAACTAAATAAAATAAATTAAAAAGAGAATGTTTGTAAATATAAAAACGAAATTAATGAATTTGTCTCTTTATTATATAACAATAATGCTGAACTCTGCAATTGTCATTGAGAAAAGTACGGAACAATTAGCAGTAGTAGAGGTAGAGACTGAAGAAGATTATAAAAGACGTAAGAAAAAGATAATAAATAAGTGAGGAAAGGCAAGAGGTAGAGGATGAAAATTAAAGGAAGCTATGTAGGGGGAGAAAGAAGGAGAAGATGAAGATTATTAATAACATAATTGGAATTGAGGAACATTTTAGGGTAAAAATATATTTAAATGTAACTATTTTAGAGATTATGAAAAGGTTTTTCATATATCGAAAAATGATTGAATTAAGAATTATTTATTTATTTTATTGAGAATTTATTTTACTAAATAGCCCAGTACAGCTAGATAGATAAGAGGCAATTTAATGTATGATTTAGCCCAATTTTCACATATTGCCCGAGTCTTATCAGTACTATTAAAATACTAATCAAGTATTTGCCGTTGACACTCGAGTAGCCTATCTATAGATTTTCCATTTAATCTGTTTATATTAGGCCTACATCTTCAGGTTGAGCATCTTTGCTTTGCTGAAGGCGAACAAATATCTAGGCTTACGGTGAAGAGGGTTCCGTACTGCGATAATATCAGCACGCTGTCAACTGCCCGTTGCCGGAGCTACGAAACCCTTTCTCGAAAAGCTCTCGGATAGCGGATAGCGAATATGAGGGTTAACGGGTCAGGGGTCATTCCATTAAATTTGTCAGGACATAAAAATAAATTACATTTGGAGTTTTTGAACTTTTTGCATTTCGGCTCTTTAGCAACTTTCACCTACGCAGCGAATCAAGAGCTCAAACAGCAAATCCCGACAGTTTGTCCCCTTTTTTCTGTGTGTGGATATATAATTTGCTTTGCAGAAACTTTAATTAGATCACTTGAATGACAGACATAAATCTCTAGCCGCAATAATAAAGGCAGTGAAAGAAATTGAGATTGAGAGACCAAACCCGAAACCCGAAGCCCGAAACCCGTTTCGACATGTGGGTGGCCCTGGGCTGCTTGAGATGGGTTTGGGCTAGATGCACGCTTGAAAAGCTCTCGATGAAAACTTTTACAAACTAGTGAAAAATGCTCAAGCCTCGAATGAAAATGGAAATGAGTTGAGCTGACGTTTCTATGGCAGCCTCCTCCATGCAGGAGGTGCGCACTGTGTGGTGTGAGGCGCGACAAGTTGACATTCGAGTGTGGCAAATGTTTGTAGCGGTTGAAAAGCTCCGGGGTTAACAATGACGTCATAGCTGTCTATGTGTGTGTGTGTGTGTGTGCAAACTATTTTGGCGTACGCATTTCGTCATAAACGAGAATAATCAATAAGCCAGGCAGACAGAATGACGCAGCCAACGTGACATAATTCCAATACAGGGGCACCAACAGCAGCACCAACAGCAGCCACCGCTGCTGATAAGGCGAGGGTCAGTTCGGGTCGGGTCGGGTTCACGTTGTAGCAGAGACGTAAACAGGCCCCAAAACATGAAATTCAATTAGAAAACTTTTTGGCACGGCTAACAAGTACGTCGATGGTGCAGGCTCTGACGGCAGTAGAGCAGTCAGCCCGTTAGCCTTCAAGCGGACACCACCCGAAAAAACCCCCTCCCAGACCAGCTATAGCACGTGTACGCTCGTCAACACCTTGGAGCCAACCTTCGTCCAGCCTAAACCCAATATTGTATATATATATGTATGTATGTGTATTTCTTTTTTGCCTAATATGCTGCCCGCTGTGTCAGTGTGCGAAATGCAACAACGTGTCGCTCACACTCACACTTTCAACAAAGTAACACGCTCTCTCTATCTCCCACACACACTCTCTCTCCCTCTCTCTCTCTGGCTGTCTCGCTCTGGCTTTTTTGGGCGCAGCTTCCAATCGGGAGGCGTGCTGAGTGCTGCCTACCTGGCGAACTTCAGTTTGGTTGTTTGCGCTGCTTTGCTTTGCCTTCGATATTCGCCTGGCTGTCAAAGCGTTCTTTTGACGTTTCGCCATGTGTTGAGTTTTGCGCGTGGGAGACGCAGACAGACCGAGAGAGAGAGAGTGTGTGAGTGTGGCGCTCAGCTTCTCTCTGTGTGTGTGCGTGTGTAAAGAGAGCCGCTGAGAGAGCGCGCATTCGGAGAGAGCTTTCACCACAGCTGTTGTCTGCCTGGTTCGTTCGTTACCTGGTCTAGCGCCTGCTTCCTTTTCGGACTATTGAGTGAGATTTGTGCGGGACGAAATGTTTTGGGTGTGGGAGTGGGTGTGGTAGCTCCTTGTTATTGCTGTTGCTGGTGCTGCTGCTGCTACTACTGCTGTTTGGCTTGGCTTGCGTGCTGTTTACTGTGTTAGCTTTTTATAGGGCACTAAAAGAAATAGTAGATCACCTTGATAAGCAATTAAACATGAAGCACTTTGTGACGATAATGCATTTAGTTACTATAAAGACTCCCTCGGCTAAGTAAAACTAGATCATGGCACTCAGATTTATTATCAAAATTATAAAATAAAACTTAAGTGAATTAAAGAGCCGTTAAATTAAAAATTTTAAAAAGTCGGTGCAATTCAAGTTTGTATACGACATTTTTTATTACAAATATAATTAAATATTAATGAAAAACAAAAATGAAATAAAATGTATATTAATAAAAGTAAAGAGATCAGGATCTAATAAATAAAAAAAGAAAAATCTATTTTTGTGATTTTCATAATAATATTTATTTTAATAAAGTAAATAAATTTTTCTCTTGACAGGAAGTCTAGATTTAGGTCATGTCATTTTTAACAATGATTTTACGTTTCTTCTGATGTGTGATTCTTATGAGAATTGCTTATAACCGAAGCTAATCGGCTGTAACCAAATATAGTCATAAATATGATTTACCCATATGTAAGTGAATCAAGCGCATATGTACATACTTTTTGCTTTTAGGTTAAAAAAAAATCTTTTCTGTAATTCTCAAGAAAAATAAATTCTATATAAATTATGTAACTTAATTTATTATTTATTTTAAGGTAATTGAAACATGTACTTATTTGTATTAAATGAATGTTTTATATAAGCCACAGAGGGTCTCTTTTAAATAGTTTTATTTCATAAAAAATAGATTAGTCTATAAATACGAATTATTATAGTTAAATATAAATATGGAAAGTGCAGATCGGCCGTTCCTTACGATTCTAATCTTAATATTCTTATATATATATATACTCCTATGCTCTTTGCCTCTTCTTCTATCTCAGTCTTTTTCTCTGAAGTCTCACTCGTTCTCTCTTCCTTTCTATTTCACTTACCTTTCACATTTTTGTTAAGTACTTTTACTACATAATTTATGATTTATTTATTTAAATATTTATATTTTGTACTTTCTTGCAGTGCACAATTATGACTACATTTGGCAGATACTGTTTGGCGACTCTTCTATTTCGTTTCAACTTCTGTTTTCATTATGAAAGTAACGAACGTAGCAAACGAAACGAAAACAATTACATAGAAAGAAATTGCTGTGGCAAAAAGCACAGAGTAGGACACGACAGGACAGCACAGGACGGGACAGGACAGGACAGAACAGAACAGGACTTGCGTCTATCTCGACAGTCACAATAAAATAACAAAATCCAAACAACGCAAACTTTTGAGTGCAAATGCTAACAAAAACCAGAGACTGAAATTGTAACTGAGCCCGTGAACCGATTCCGAGACCGAGACAGAGCTTTAATTTCTACTCGCCAGCCAGTCGCCACATTCCAAAAGGGATGACAGGAGGCGTTGAGAGGGGCGTGAAGAGGGCGCGCTCTCATCGGGTGCCTATTCGGGCCCGATTCGTGCCTGGCCTGACAAAAGCCTACATTTTGGGGAAAAGCTCTGGCCCGACGAAGACACGACGACGACAAAGTTGGGCCCAAGTAGTCAGAGTAGTGGAGCCACACGGTTCAGACGGGGCGCTCCGCAGCAAACGCAGCTGAAACGCGCAAAAGAAAGCACAGAAAAAGCTGAAAAAAAATACATATAAAGTCAAGCAAATTATTCTAATAAAATATTTAATTACAAAAAAAAGTGTTTGAAGCAAATTAAAAAAAAAAAAAATCAAATAAATTAAGCAATTGTGTTTAACGGTTAAAATTCAGAGGCATGCTAAAATTATGTAGA